TTTTTATGAGTAGACGATATATATATATATATATATATATATATATATATATATATATATTGAGCATATTATTCACAAAAAGCATGAAAAAAAAAGGAACAGTTTCAATTTTCACCAATGGCTGCTATTCGAACTTTCAACTCCATCTTATAAAACTATATTTATTACATGAATGAATTTGTTTTAATTACAATAATCTTGTAAATATAATTAATTCAGTCTGCATGGCTAGTATTTTTACCCGACGTTGACGTGCTAGATTCATAAAGGGTATTCCGCTGCATTTACCATTAAGATTACAAACATTTTAATGCAAAAACAACGTCAAATTATGGGGAAAAAAAAACATTGCGTATTTTTGCTAACTGAAGAAGTTAACACCTGTACAGCCTGTTGATTATCCTTATCGTAGTCCCCCTCATATTCGATTGAAGTTTCCAATAGAACGCTCGATGCCACCAAAGGATTTGAACGTCGATGCAAAAAATCACCGGTATTCGTATTACCGGTGACTCTAAGAAAGCTAGTCATTAAAATGGCCTTCACAAAAATGGTTGAAACTGCCATCAATATCAAAGCTCCTAAAATCCAGCCGCTGAGGTTGCGTCCCGGCCTAAAACATCTCAGCAGGGATTTAATTCTTCTCCTGGTGCAGCCTCCCAACGAAGACTTCTCGTGGTGGTGGTGGTGGTGGTTTTGTGGTAGAATTTTAGTACAATCATTGATGAATGTCAATGTAACATCTTCTTCTGCAGATTCTATGGCATCAACTGCCCTTCTTCTGGTTTTGGATTGGCATGTATCACCCGGAATCATTTTCATTATACAATATATGTAGATGAGTATATATATATCATATTGGATTCAAGGGTGCTTTTCTTTCTTTTCTTGAACAGCATATACGGGAGAGAGATATCGGAGAGGGAGAGGGAGAGGTTTACTAACTAACGCTCGTTTCGTGCCGTTCTATTATTCTCATGTCATGCCATAGCCCACTTCATTTTTGGTGGGTTTTTTTCCGGGTAATGGCTCCGTAATATAAGCTCAAACAACAATTAACTACCTCTCTCTCTCTCAACGTTTACCATATTAATTTGTAAGCAGCATAGTGGACACTAATTGACCAAGGAAACATTGGTTATACTATAGAGCAATAGTTTTGTATGCAATTAAACACTTGTGCATATTCACCTTTTTCGGGATAATTACGCTCATACGTCAACGTGGCCCTTGTTTATTTCTCCACCACAATTAAGGTTATGTATCGGCCGGTTCCTTTCGAGCTTCTTGGAAACGGAACTCAATCGATTACCGACGGGAATTATGAAAATTGAATGCTGGATATATAGTGTTTAAATGAATAAATTAATAAGAATAATGTTGGAACGTAGTCTGGATGAATATAATACTTTTTTTTAAAATTTTAATGGAGATAAATTTAAAGTATGATAGATATATAAAAATTGTGGATGTAATAACTTCATGTTATATTTGTTCATGATTATATAACAATATGGGAATTTTCTTAACCTGTATGTAAATAAAAGTAAGTATATCCTTGTGAGACGAAGAGAGTAATATTAAACTTAGATCAAATTACATATATTTCAACTTGTTTTAAATGTGTCACAATCGCGTTGATAGGTAAACTGCGGTGTAAACCAAACTTTGGTTTGGTTTGGGAAATAAAATAGTTTGATTTGATTTTAAATTTTTTAAAACCATTTTAGATATTTTGATTTAAAAATATGCCAAAAACAGTTCAAACCGAAACATATTCGTCCTACATCCAGCTCTTCTAACACGAGGTTAGAAATTCAAAGATACATAATTATTTGCAAAGTCAGTCAGAAGTATAGTGTAAGAAAAGTTGTCAACTTTAACTGAACAGGTTTTGGCTTCTTTTAAGTGGAAATTACAAAAAATGTCAACTTTTACTCAGTTATGTGCAAAATTTGTTCAATATCTATTTTACTATAATTTAGGTCAAAATACCCTCATTAGCAATTTTAAGTTCTACAATGAGGACAAAATTGTTTATATAATTAAAAATCGTACATATACTACTTATTTGAAAAGGTATTACGTCAATCATATATTAAATACTCACTTTTCCCAATAAGTGGGTAAATAAAACATTTGTGAAATGTCAATAACTACACTAAAATATCAAGAACTTTATGAAATGTAGATAACTCTCATGTTCAGAACAAAATCTCGTTTTAGACAAATGAGATGTCGAGATAAACAGGGTCCAAATGTTTGGAACGTCATGAAATGTTAAGAACAATAATTAACAAAAACAAGATTTCAAAGAAAAATTTCTTTCTGTCGAAAATTGTGGAAAGCCTAATTAATTCGCAAATTTGGATAAGATTATATTTCTTGAAATGAAATCATATGGTTTTCTCATGAATTGAAAGCATATAGTTATTTTTTAGTGTTAATAGTTTTTCAACTTCATCTTTTTCATTTTTTTTCCAAAATTATTGTTCAGTACTTAATAGATAATGAAAGCAAATGAATCCATTATCTATTAGCTAGTATTAATGTAATTTTTCATGGAAGTTACTTGTCCTTTTTGAAATTCGTGATAAATTGAAAAAAAAAATTGCTTCATTTTTCATTAAGGGTATGATAGATAATTTGGTATCAAATTTGACTATTTTTTCAAAAGTTATCAAAATTAAACATTTTTCAATTGATAAGCATGGAATTGGATATTTTTGTAAATTCCTCTCCTTTTTTTATTTCTATGACATCTTAGACTTTCTTGTTAGTTGCTTGAGCTTCGATTGACATTCATTAAGACAACTATTGTTTTTTTCAAACTCATTTTCAGTTACACATTTTCAAAATTTTTTCTTATTTTTAATCACACATTCTTCAAAATAAACTATTCTAAAATTCATTTTGTTGGGTTTTGATACCCAATAAATTCGAGCGATAATGTTAAATCGTTTTTTGTATTGGATTATATTTCATAGGTCTCGATCGATGAGTGAAGTGAAATGTCGACACCACAATTACACAAACCATTCCTATAACTTATTTGGGCCATTTGAAGTAACCAAATTGCATTAGTGTTACTCATGGCTCCACACATTACCTTGGAAAGCTTTTCGGTGGTAGCCCTATTATTTCCTATTGGGCCTAACTATGTTCTAACCTAAAAGCCCACACTTGGTACCTTTATATACCTCGCCCCATTACTGTTGAAGTGTGTGAAAAGGTGTAGTAGACGTGTGAAAGAAGGAAAGGTAGTGTTCTTCCTTTGGCTTTGTGCTTTCGATTTTGCTTTGTGCTTGCCTTGCCTTGCCTTGTTTTTTCTTCTCTAGCCTTTGTGGCTGAATTTTGGGGCTACTATATTCCACACCATTGCCCTCCCGAAGAAGCAACCAGTTTTGGTTCTTTGGTTTGGGTTTGTTAATTGTGGTGTTGATTGGTGTCGATTGAACCCGATTTTCGTGAAGCTTGGAGTTCAATACTCAACATTTGGTTTCAGAGCCAAGTTTGGTGGTATTTTAGTGGAAAAAGGGACTCAAAATCGGCAAAAAAAAGGCAATTGAAAACCTGCCCAATTTTTCAACATAAAAATCGAACTTGCAAGCTCCGATTCCGGCCAAACCAGTGGCCATTTGAAAAATTCAATACCACAGGGAGGATCAGCAGGTGGAGGAGGAGCTAGGTGGCAGGCGTGTGAGGACGGTGGTGGCGCGTGAAGCCCACACGCAGGGAGGCTCTTCTGGCAGCGCTCCCTTCAGGCAGTTTTCTCATTTTGATTTTCTGAAAGTACTGATATTTTTGTTTTCGTGTTTCAGGTTATGCAAGAAAAGTTGAACTATTTTGCCCTTGGTGGGTCAACGGTCGCAAGTGCTATACATTTACTGAATTATTTTAAGCTAAAATCGCGGCCCTAAATTAGAAAATTCGCATCTCTCGTAATCTACGAACTCAGATAGGTTCACTCTGATAAATTGGCTTATCCCGTTTAAATTTCATTATTAGAGCGTCATCGTGTGGGGTGACATTAGAATTGGGGTTACCGTGAAGGGATAACAATTGTTTGTGCTAGAAATTTAGGAATTAATTGCTCTATTTGAAGTGTTGGATTTAACTACAAGTTGATATTTGTTTCTGTGTTTAATTGCGTGAGAATTTTGAATTTTTTTTGATATACCTTCGTGCTGTATTGGCTATTCCGTTAGAACACCTGACTTGACCCGCTCGAACATTCCCTTGATCTAAGGTTGTGAATTTTACGAAATCCTGAGAATCTAGAACGATTTATATTGTAGCTTTAAGATTACTTTGTGTGACCTATCTTTGTATTTTGGTTAATCTATTTTTCAAAATGTCTTCACATAAAATGTCTTCACATTTTGAAATTGAGATTTTCAATGGGAATAGAGACTTTTCAATTTGGCAACAAAAGATGAAGGAGATTTTTGTTCAACAAAAAATTTCAAATGCCATAGATGACAAATTTCCTTTAGATTTAACAGAAGCACAAAAAGAAGAATATAACGAACTTGCTTACACTTCAATTATTTTACACTTATCCGACAATGTTTTGAGAAAAGTTAGAAAACTTAACTCTACTAAAGAACTTTGGCAAAAGTTGGAAGACTTATATTTGCTAAAGTCTACTCCGAATAAGTTGTACTTGCTCAAAAAAAATTTAGCTTTAAAATGGATCCTTCAAAGGATGTTGATGAAAATTTGGATGTTTCTAACAAGTTGGTTCAAGACATCGTTAATTATGATGAGAAGGTGTCTGAAACTTATAAGGCCATTTGCTGAATTCTATGCTTGATTCATATAGAGAGGTTAATAATGCAATTAAGTATGGTAGGGACACTTTAACACCCGAAATTGTCATAGATTCCCTTAGGAGTAAGGAGATGAAGATTAAGGCTGAAAACGAATATAAGAGAAATGGTGAGTTGCGTATGATGAGGAGTAGAATGAAGTTTAAGCAGATGAGTTTGGGTAGAGTTCAAGACAGTAGTGATTCGAGTAGTGACTCAAGTGATGAGGATGGTAAGAAGAATGGCAAAAGATAGGACAAGTCTAGTGGTAGACGATGTTATAGTTGTGGTAAGACTGGACACTTTATTAGGGATTGTCCTAAGAAGAACAATGATAAACAGAATGGTAAGTTGAGAGGCGAGACGAATTTGGCATTAGGGTTGAGTGATGATCCTAAAGAGGCTTATTAAGTGTAAACCTAGTTACTGCATTTGCATCCGTATGTAATCATTTCTGCATGTATGTGATTGCTTAATTATGTTGCTTGATTATATGTTGCATTTCAATGTGTTTGAAATGTGCATTGGCATGAACTAGAGTGATCATATTACTTGGTGTAATTGTTTGCATGTATAGTGGGTTAGGATGCATTAACAGTGTGTTGTATGTCTTTTGGTAATATGATAACTTAGGATCTATAGAGGCTTACCGTCACACATGGGTTGAGTGATTAGTCTAGTGAGCATGGTGGGCGATGATGTGAGATATGTATTCTCGAGGTGTCAGTAACACGGAATGGAATACGATAAGTGTGGTGAGATCTTTTCGTTGGGTCATTTATGCATTTGTTGCATATGTGTTGACCTGTTGATTAAATTGGTGTTAGTATATTGTTCTGTGTGAGCATGTTTTGAAAAAGATCTATGTGATATCTATGTCGCATGTTTATTTACTCTTAATTGATTGCTGTGATTATCTGCTTCTACTTAGGTGTTAATGATCTTAGCCCTGGTAAGTATATGGGGCATGTATGGTATGTGTTTCGGGTTCGAAACACAAGGTAAGGTCTGCGATACCAATTTTATTGGTTACATTGATTGTATAAGTATAAACTTTGTGTTTCGTTCGCTTGCAGATTTATTTGGAATCAAGGTGGAAATTTGTTGGGTTTTGATACCCAATAAATTCGGATGATGATGTTAAATCGTTTTTGTATTGGATTATACTTCATAGGCCCACGCCGATAATTGAAGTGAAATGTCGACACCACAATTAAACAAACCATTCCTACAACTTATTTGAGTCGTTTGAAGTAACCTACTTACATTAGTGTCACTCATGACCCGACTCATTACCTTGGGCCTAACTATGTTCTAATCTAAAAGCCCACACTTGGTACCTTTATATACTTCGCCCCCGTTACTGTTGAAGTGTTTGAAAAGGTGTAGTAGCCATGTGAAAGAAAGAAAGGCAGTGTTCTTCCTTTGGCTTTGTGCTTGCCTTGCCTTGTTTCTTCTCCTTTAGCCTTTGTGGCTGAATTTTGGGGCTACTATATTCCACATCATTGCCCTTTGTGGGCAACCCGAAGAAGCAACCGATTTTGGTTCTTTGGTTTAGGTTTGGGTTTGTTAATTGTGGTGTTGATTGGTGTCGACTGAGTCCGATTTTGGTGAAGCTTGGAGTTCAATACTCAACACATTTTCCTCCAAAAACACTCATTTTAATGGATGTCAAACAAGAGCTTAATGATCAGTTTATTATAGAAAAAAATAAATTAGATCTAAATGATAAATATAGAAATAAAGAGCAAATTGAACATATTATATATTTGAGATGTATGTCTTCATGATATTAATTTATTATAATAAGATATGATTTTATTTTTTCCTTTCTTTCATAGATCTTAATTACGTCTAATTTTCTTAATCTCATGTTGGTTAGAAGCACTGCAGCAGTGCAGAGTTCACGCTGTATGCATGAATGTATGAGTTGAAATAATTAAACTTAGTCCGCAATTAATTTCATGTGTATATTTAATGAAATTCACAACTTTTCAATAGCATATTTCATCAATTTTTTTCTCTTAAAATTTATTAAAAATATAATTTTTAACAGAGTAAATGTGTCAATTTCATTTGGAACAATAATTTAGCTAATTTCATTTTATATACTTTCTCTTTTCAGCTATTCATACTTGGTAATAGGTTGTAAGTCTCGTATTCTGCTTCCTTTCCACACGTTTACAATTTCCCTAAAGACATTTCTCATAATCAATTCTTCAATTAATTAATTAATTAATTCCTTCGTTACTTTTAATTGGAATTTCTCGTTACAAATATTCTCGACTCAATAAAAAGATTTGGTGGGACGTCCATTTAAATCACGATCTCTCGAATAAGTAAGGTGGTAAGAGATAAACTTGGTGAGTCGATTTCCGAATTGCATAATTTTGGTGACTTGAAATTGTAAGTATCGTGAACGGTCGACTTATCTCTCCCTAGCACACACTTCCCATTTTTGTTGTTTTCATCTTCGATTTTTGCATATTTCAATCACGAATGCGCCCTTTATAATCTTCTCTCCCCATCACCATCTTTTCAACCCTAAAACTTCAATACACGATTTTCCCTAACATCGCATTACCGATTTATTTTAGAAATCTGTACAGATTGTCAATTTTTTTTTTTTTTTTTGTTATAGCAAAATGACGACGACGAAATCGTCGGGCAGATTTTTCACTATCGGCTTAGTGGCATCGTGGTATTCATCGAACATTGGGGTGTTGCTTTTGAACAAATATTTGTTGAGCAATTATGGGTTCAAGTATCCGATCTTCCTCACCATGTGTCACATGACCGCGTGTTCTCTGCTCAGCTATATTGCGATCGTGTGGATGAAGATGGTCCCGATGCAGACTATAAGATCTAGGGTTCAGTTCATGAAGATCTCTGCTCTCAGCTTGATCTTCTGCGCCTCGGTTGTCAGCGGGAACGTTTCGCTCAGGTATTTGCCAGTCAGCTTCAACCAAGCCATCGGGGCCACCACGCCTTTCTTTACGGCCGTATTTGCATATTTGATGACGCTCAAAAGGGAGGCGTGGTTGACTTACATGACGCTGATTCCAGTGGTTACCGGGGTCATCATTGCCAGCGGGGTATGTTCAATTGAACTATTCAGTCTATTGATTTGCCTCTTATTTAGTTGATCGCAGTACTCTTCAACTGGATTCGGCGTGTTTTTGTGTGTGTGTTTTTTTTTAATGTCAAGTATGATGCTTTTTCTTCATCTGGAACTGTGTTATTTGTCCAGTTGAAGTTATGTATGGTGATTATGTGATTATTTTTGTAGGAAGTAGTAAGCTTGGCTCAGAAATCCCTTTCCTTTGGAATGAATAGATTATGGATTTATTAATTGTCTTTGTGATTCCTGGTGTAACAGGATAACAATGAGCATAGAATTATATACAGTCATTTTATTTTTTTGCAATATAAGTTGTAATTGGAACAAGAAATCAGGGGCTGTATTCTAATTAATTGATCTGAGCATAACACCGATTTTGGAAAATGAGATATCTGGTATTTTCAAGTCTGCTTAATAACACGTTGTCAATTAGCTGAAGACTCTGTAGTCAGAGTTCAATTAGGATTATATATTTTTTTAAATTAATTAGGATTTTATTTTTATACACCCAATACAATGTCATTTTTTATGTTGAAAATGTAAATTTCATATATCTTGTAGTGTAATGAATTCACGTTTCGAGCTGGTGGACATTGCTTTCATCAGTACCAATGTCAGATAAAGAAATAAAAAATTTAGATACCATGATAAAATTGATATCTATTCTGTATCTTCTCAAGGAAATACATATATCTACCAAGCTGATTGGAGCAAGATACAAAAGATATGCTGATTCTCTGTAACAAGTATGCCTTACATGTTATCGTTGAATTGCTGTTGCTACTTGCTATGGTATTAGGGGGAAATCAACTTTGTTTTTGATTTTGTTTCTTTCCATGTTGTTAGGGAGAGCCAAGTTTCCATTTATTTGGATTTATTATGTGTGTCGGCGCAACAGCCGCAAGAGCACTCAAATCAGTTGTTCAGGGGATTCTGCTTTCTTCTGAAGGGTAATATATTTATATTTCTGATATGTTGTATCTTCTGGTAAAGTTGTGCCAGGAATGTTGAGCTTTTGTGTGCTGGGAACTTGGACATGCTTACTGAAATTTTTCTTATCTTGTTGAAGGGAAAAGCTGAACTCTATGAATCTGCTCATGTACATGGCTCCTATCGCTGTTGTATTCCTACTTCCCACTGCACTCTTAATGGAAGAAAATGTAGTTGGCATCACATTGGCACTTGCAAGAGATGATATCAGAATTATCTGGTTACTGTTATTCAATTCTGCACTCGCATATCTTGTCAACTTGACCAACTTTTTGGTCACAAAACACACCAGTGCTCTGACTCTTCAGGTATTACTGGATTTTTATTACATGCTATTCTCCTTTCATGAGTTGCAATTATTTGAATTTGCAAATATTGCATCTTGCTGACATTTGAATCAAAGGGATCAGTAAGTTTCATTCGAAGAGACAATAGCCAGATCCATGATCCATGAATATTTTAGCTCATTGGTTAGGAAAGGAGAGTAACTAGATCTGATTTCTATGAAACAAACAACAGGATACAAAAATGTTACTTTTAGGTTATCTAATTACCTTTTCCATTTTGCATATGGTTGGATTTTTAAACGTGCAGTATTTTTCTTGAGAAAATTGACAGTAGCTTTGGATTTGGAGAATATAATTTTTATCCTATTTTGTTTCCTTCATATAATTAAGTGGAACAGTGTATTATGCATTCTAAAACTATTTGTTGAAAGAAAATGATTGTAGCTTGAGTATATTATCTTTTCAGGAAGTACTCTCCATTTTATGGACATATTTCAATGTTGATGTTTCTGTCAATCTGGATACAGAAATAAATGTTGGCTTTAAAGATAATCTAAAGCATACTCTAAGAAACCTTCTGCAAAAGCAAACTGAACCTATATTGTGTATCACTTTTCTTGCTTAGGGATCCATATTCTTCTTCGCGTAATATTTTTCTTTCCTACTTTTGCTATTATTCAAAATGAACAATCTTCTTCTTTTTTTTGGTGTGTGGATCTGGACCTTGTCTGAAAACATATTCCTGATGGCTTATTAAACATAGTGTAATATTTTCAGCCCAGTACATATGGAATAGCTTAAGATTAACTTCACTAAAATGTTAAGAAACGAATACATGTTGGAAAAATACCATTTCTTTTACCCATGAAAAGTTCATTTTCATCATTTATCCTTTTTATTCCCACTGGATTGCATAAATTCAAATTAGATGGTGGAAGAGAACTTGTAAAAATCATTTCTCCTGTGAAAGAAATGCTGAAAGATCTATGTGCATCATTCCTGAAAACATTGAAAAGGATTTTTGAGAATGATTCTTGCGATAGGAAGAAAGAAAGTTATCAATTGCATCAATAATATTACACTGTAAAGCTGTCTGGTTCATTTGTCTGTAAAATCATTTGTGCATTCCTTTTTTACTCTCGCAATCCTGGTTGGTTTTTTCTACTTGTATCATCAACTTTTCTGCTTTTATTTGGAAAATGTAACTTCCATATCTTGTTGGTATTTATTTTCTACTATTTTTTGTTCCTAAAACTAAATAAATCAAACATACATTAGAAATGTTGAAAACTCATAATTAAGATTCTTGGTAGACAGAAGCCAGGTGTATTAGGGTTTTAAAGGTTTCTTACATCTTGTAAAACTGGGTGTTAGGTGTATAATATATAGTGTCTGATTAAATCAAATCCATTTATCTTTTCTTCTGATTAAACTTTGTTTTCCTTTTCTTTATGGTGATTGAACTTTAAAAAGTATATCTGATATTGGAGTGTGTTTCCCATTTACAATTGCTGGTCCTTTCAGGTCCTTGGAAATGCAAAGGGGGCAGTTGCAGTAGTAATCTCCATATTGATATTTAGAAATCCCGTCTCTGTTACTGGAATGCTTGGGTACACCCTGACAGTCATTGGTGTTATCCTCTATAGCGAAGCCAAGAAGCGTAGTAAATGAGATATTAAACTGGAAACATATCAACTACGAAATCCATCTATTCTGAAATGTGAAAAGTTGCTACCTTGCGAAGATGTTGGTACCATGTTTGAAGATGGTGCATGGATTTTGCCTTGTGTTTATTTTTTGCATGGGAAGGCTGGGAAAGCATCATTTACACCAGCATCTGACACCTGATTACAGAGAGTACAGGTTTAATAGGTGAACGAACTGTTCTTTATGTAGAAAAGATCTTTTTCCTTGCATTCTTTCAACCAAGGAGTGTAAAGTCCAAACCAAAAAGCACGTTAATTAATTTTTTAGATTCTTGAAATTATACAACACTTGTGATGACGCCATTAACTAATGGTTCAAGTTAACTCATTATGGTCTAGTGTTCTGTTTTACCTACTTTGATCAAGGAACATGCACATAGATAGTTAAACTATTTTGCGTGTCTATGCTTAGCAAAATTTATAAATCATTTAAAAATGATCAAACTTCATTTGTCAATCACTCTATTTATAATCTCTTTCTTGACACTTCAATGTTAGTTAAGCCACTGGCTTCTACCTTAAAACTTGAGGTTGATGTAAGTTGCAGTTTTTATATTTTTGTAAATGATCTCAAAATTTTAGAATAGGTTTTCAAACATTTGTTTCTTTAAGGTTCTCAGCTCCTAGTATCTTGCAGTACTTTATCATGTAATCAATATTTAAAGAGACAGATGAAGTGGAAGGAAGATATATTATAATTCTGCAAGAATTAGAAACTTAAAGAGAGCCTTTCTAATCCTGGGTATTTGAATTTTCCAAAATCTAAGAATTCCTTCCAATCCATCGTCTAAGTAATAGAATTGAGCAAAAGGAGAGAAATCTGTAGATAAGCAGAAAAGGCCGATTCAAAGAAAATTATTTACTCCAGAAAAGGCCGATTTAATTCCCAACTCTTCACCTCTCTACTACCATTGTGCATAAGACATGGACGACTTCATCAGACAAAATACATGACCACGGTCAAGGTTTTTGAAGCGTCTACCAATCACTCTTGGATACCATCTACCATTTTAAGAGAATAAATTGATATTTCCTACATCAGAATCAGACAAAAATCCAACTATTCAACCTCCATAACTTCGGATTCACCGTTTGATTCTGCTTCAGGCTTGGTTTCCACAAGAGTATAATTGTCAGATTCAACCTTGGGTTTGGTTTCAACAAGAGTATAATTGTCGGATTCAACCTTGGGCTTGATTTCCACTTTAATCTTGCTTTCTTCGTCAGGTTCAGATTCTTCAAGAAGCATGGGCTTCAAGTCGGGCTTCTTCTCCAATTTAGACTCGGTTTCCTTCCTAGTCCTGGTCTCAGCCTGACCTGCAATTTCCTCTTCATCTTCTATTTTAGGAGCCAGATAGAACCTGAGGTGGCCCATCTCTGCAATTTTGTACTCAACTACGGCTGGCAGTTCAGAAGACATGCTGATTGTCACTCGGTTTGCAAGTGGGGTGGCCTTTGCAAAGGAGTTCATATACCTCAGGGCAAAGGTTTGTGTAACAGATTGCTCCATCTCTATAATTGTAGCATCTTCTGGCTGCAAAATTATATGCCAAGTGAAGGCACGACCTTTAGAGTTTTTTAGCAAGAGTTCGAAGTGTTTGATCATTTTTCAGAATTATCGCATTAAGCAGAAGTTTTCTCGCTTATTCGAGAACTGATTCAAAAAACAAAAAAGCACGGAAAGAAAAAAATGAAAGACATACCTTGTCTGCTGATGTATTTTGCCTCAAGACAGTGTTAGCTGTACCAATGTCACCTCTAGTGGAGAACCCCACACCTTCTTTTGTCACAGATATCACAACTGCAGTAACTCAATGAAACCCACTGGAATTAGCAATAAGATGAGGGTTAAAGAAAAAGGAAAAGCTCCAAGGTTTATGAACAGTACCGGTATCACCAATGGTGCTGAGATCTTTGCAAATCCTAGCAAATTCTGCAGACGGCATTCTCACAATGGCTTCATATTCTGTTTCTGGAATCCCAAGATGCTCACTATCAATGTCCATGAGCTTCATCTCAAAATCAGCAATCTTATCTTGAGCTTCAATAAGTTAAGAAGGCACGCATCAAGAGTCAAGTTAAAAGACATAATAATAAACTTGCCTCAGTTATTAGCAAAAGAAGGAATCTAGAGTTTCTTCCAGTTAAAAAAAAGGTTATGCTGACATAATTATGAGAAGAAAATAAAAACCCAAGTATCCATATCGCTTCTCCATGGCTTAGTTACAATAATACCATTTGGAAAATAAGAGTAGATTTGCAACAACAAAGGTAAACCTCTACGAGTCTTGAATTAGAAAAGTTTGGACCAAAACATAGGAAGAAACCTTTCAATTTCTTATGAAGCACAAAGTATAGAAAATTAGTTAAAAACAAGCAACGTTGGAGACAATTTGACCAAACTACATAAATAGTAGTGTCCTATAAATGCTTCCAGATGAGAAGCATCAAGGACAAGGAGAAACCCACCCTAAGAATTTTTTCTGTAAATGACCAGTTCTAAACTGAAAATACTGAGGCAACAAAATCAAAAAATTGCCTTACTAGTTGCTAAAGTTGTTGTGAAACCTAAAATCCAAGTTCATTTAAACCATTAGCCACGCATTCTCTTGTTTGTTAACTCATCTGATCTTTTGTATTATCTACTTTCACCCAGTTTCTTACATCAGCTTTTTCCTATTTTTTGAACAATGAAGCAAAAATACCATACATTTCAAGCTTCTTATGAAAAGTATTAGTTAACTAGTTAAGTATGCATTTATAATCCCATTTAATTAAACAGTTTAACATGACTTAACACGAGAATCCAGATATTTATTGCTAGCTTCGCAAACAAAAATATAAAATTCCATGTAAAACAACAAAAACTAATCCAGGGCAACTAACAAATGGCATCCAAATAATGGTAAAATATCATAAATTTAATTGTGGTTATAAACAAAGAACCAACAGTAATCTAGAAAAAAATTATGTATTTAATTCCAGTAAGAAGAACAATGAAATGAAATAAAAATCCCATCCACCTTTAATGTTAGAATTTCGGTCTGACCCGAATTTTTTGTTGAAAATAATTGAGAGTTTTAATTAAAGTGCATATTAAGAAGAATTTTATTTAGGATGCTATTGTAAAATCCTATTCAAGTTTCCTTCACGATTTTTAATTGAAGTTCTACTTGGAAAAACATTGGGGTAGAGGGGTAGGAGTATGTGTTGAACTTAAAAAGAAGACTTTGGAATGAAAAACACCTTTTGCAAGGTATTTGGACGGAGACGGGCACCTGGGCTTCAACGCTTTTTTTTTCCTGCTTCGTTTTGGACTCCGTTTTTTACAATCTACTTCAATTACAACTCTTCTATTAGACGTCCCATATTTGTCAGAGCTCATTTGGTAAGCATTAAAATGAAAGTTTGTAGAAAAAATGTGACCGTTAGTGGGCCAATCTGGGACCCACCATAGAGATAAAAAGTCAAAAAAATTAGTTGGAATATGAGCCCAACTCTTCTATATAGTTGGCTCTTCATTTCATCATAATTTAGTAAGTTAGAAACATGAGATACATATAATCTTTGTATTCTTTCTCCATGTTATAATAAAATCCATATTTTCTGCAAATTATTTTATTCCTGTGTTTTTGTGATACCTAAATATCAAAAAGTAATGGGCCATAAAACACATTATCAAAAAAGCGAAGATACGTATGCCTAAATATCAAGAAGAGTTAAAATATCAAGAAAACACATAGCAATCACATAATAAACCCATATAATACACAAAAAGCACAAGATCCGTATGCCCAAGTATCAAAAAGATAATGGGATATTTAAAAAGAAAGACCAAATCGGGATAAAAGTGACGGACATACAAGGGTTCTCGAACATGAAGGTAACGGTGTCAGTTCCATCATCAGCTTTGATGGTGATAATGTCATCATTTCCAGCGCACTTGAGCATCTTGGCCATGTTTCCCATGTTCATGCCCATCGTAATGTTTCGGTCGCATCGATAGTGCTCGAAGCCCTCTGAGCGGAGCAGAAGCGTCACCAAGGCCACGTGGCTGGAATCCATGGCCTGCAATGAAAAACCAGTAGCCGAACAGTCGAAGTTTGCATCATTCACCAAATCTTTGAGTGATTCAAGAACTTTCTTCAGTAGACTACCCTGGACTAGCCTCAGTTCAAACATTTTTTTTTTCTATTTCTTTGCTTCCTTAAACTTGGATTACACGCTTGATGGGTTTGAGATAAAATGAAAGGAGATGGGTTAAACTGGCTAATGGTTGTCTCTACGGTAAATATATATTGGAGGGAAAGGGGGCAGGGTTTCGGCGCGGGAGGAAGAGTGATTCCCGCCAAAAATACCAGCAGCGGTAAAACGACACCGTCTGATGTTTATTGATTTTACTTTTACTGTTTTAATAAAATTCATAATTTTTTTTTTTCTCAAGACATGAGATTGCTATGTAATGAATATATTGAATAGCAATTTTCAAGAGAATGTATGGTTTAAATGTAGGAAATTTTTTTGTATTTACATATGAAAAATTTTATTGTGTAAATATGTGGTTTAAAATAAGTATGTTAAAAGTAAATTTTTTCAGAGAATGTGCATTAAAAAGTAGAAAAAAATTGAATTTACGTTTAAAATATTTTATTGTGTGATTAAAAATGAGTGAAAAATAAATTAAATTAAAATAAAGAATGTCAAACAAGGACTGATTTTGATTATGTGACAAGTTTTTATAACTTCAAACGACCCATACTGACTGTTGGGAAACTACTTTGAAAGCGCCATGATCATTAGGAAAAATTTTAAAGATGAGTGACTGTTGCACTGTTGGAAAACAATATTCAACATAGCAAACTCAAAGCAGCAGCACTTGACGAATGAAGATCAAACTTGAATGTTTTTTAATATCAAAGATTCAATGTCTGCACTGCCTTCATTTTAAAGTTTTTGCAGAACTAGCCATAAAACAAAATTAAAAAAACCACACTAATCAATGATAATGATGAACTTCACAAGTGCATGGGCGGAATTTCACCACTGGAAATAAGATGTCATCTCATAAATTGAACAAACAAATGAAACAATACCTCTCCCTCATGGAAAACAGGACACTGTAAAAGAATGAGTACATTCGAGTTTACACATTGAGATCAAAGAGAATCGGAAGGAAAACACGCCCACACAAACAAGCCCCACCATGCAGAGTGATATCTGGGTTGAAGAGTGGTGTTCAAGAATCTGGAACAGCGGCTGTTGGATGTTTCATTGATGCAGACTTGACTAAATGGTTATAGCTGCCTTTTTCTTTGAAGAGCTGGGAAAAATGAGGTTTACAGTATAAAATGCCGTCCAGGGCTGCATAATTTGACGGAGTTAGAGAACATCCACCATGAGAACACCTGAAACAAGACTTGTGATAGCTTTGGTTTTCCACTGTCACCTGCAGATGTTTAATAAACAAGAGAAAAGAAGTACGAATCATAAATAACCACCCAGATATGAGAGATTTTAGAAAAATAACTCATCTAAACCCAACCAAACCTATTCTAGTTGCCAGAATGTTGATATTGGAAGCTATTGCAATTATTCAAGCTCAAACCTTTCGCGAAACATACGGATGCATCAATATAGTACTAGTCTGATAGATGAAATTGATGTGTAAGCAGATAAAATTCTTTAGGACATTGAAAATAACTACAAAAGATCTGATCCGACAGCTGTTCATACCTAGACTTTAGCAATTTCTAAAACATTTATTGACTCAACCCTTCAAAAGCCACAGGCATCAACCTTCTTAAACAGCAATTTCAATCTCAGGAAATATATTGTGGTTCAGCACACATGCTCTAGTTCATAATAATGAGAAGTAATTCAATGATAGTTCTCCATCACAGTGAAATCCAACAGGACAATTTCAATGTTTTACAAGTGTGAATAAGTCATATCGTGTGTTAAATTATGCATCTCAAAACTAATTGACTGTGAGTAGATAAGGCATTCAATCTCTTAAAACATGCTTTAGGAAGTGTCATTTATTTGATGTTGAACAGTCTAAAATAATTTAACACTTTAGTTCAAAAGAAATGTACTTCATTTTAACTCAGAATACACATCTCTTCATGATACTCTAGTGTTGTTCTCAGAAGACGTGAACATCATACAACAGTGTAACTAAATACTTCTTGTCAGCTATCAAACCTCACAATATAATCTGGATGCTAGCTGACGTGTTCTTGTTTATCTATATTAAGCACAATGTGAGAACTCTTCAAATATTTTACTAGTTGAATAAGTTCTTGCTCTAGTCCAACCTTTCCAGGAAACATGGAAGGAAGATGCTATTTCATCGTTCAAACACTCACAGTGACATTTTTGACAATCGTGTTTAGACAAGCACACCGAATGATTGTATTATTAACCACAATCTAATGATTCCATAAACCAATTTTAATTGTTCAATTCAGCGTGTGTGAATTTCTGGGTCACAAGCAAATGATGGCATAGTAGTGAACATCAGGACAATACTAGGAAATATGGTACAAAGAATCTCGATAGTAGTTCCATGAACAATCCTTTCGATTGTTTTATAGTAGAAGTGCCATAAAGTGTGAACCAAGATCCGTGATACGAAACAAAAATAAGAATAAGGATGAAAAAGATATGCAGTCAATGGCTAGAAGGTTATGTTCAATTCATCGCAGCTCATCAAGCCTCGTGGAGCCTGAGTTCTTTTGACAGCTACATATTCGCAAAGGTGAGAAATGCAAGAATTCAAATTAAGGATTAATCCCATAGAGTTTGAGTTCTCCCTTTTCTGTCACTCCTCTAATCTGTCACTACATAGTAGATATAAAGGAATGTCGAATTTATTCAAATCCTTTGCAACCACACATAAGAAATGAAAATTTTGAAATCTCTCCCCAAATGATTAAGGTTTGTTGATAATTAAGCCTGAATGAACAGTTCATAAAGTACTTGCTTGCTGACAAATTTGTCTAGCTGAAGAAGGGATTTTAAATAAATTGCATGCTACACTGTAGTATAGAAAATTGTGTTTGAAATTTTTGGTCTTAAGTTCAATTCAGTTTTGACTGCTTCAAATTCACAGAGGTGAGAAATGTAATAATACAAACCAAGGCATAATTCCATAGAATTTGGGGTACCCTTTTCTACTCGTCTAATCTGTCAGTACATAGTACATATACAGGAAATGTCCAATTTTTCAAATCCTTTGCAACCACACTTGAGTAATGAAAATTTTGAAATCTCCCTCCAAATGATTAATGTTTGTTGATTATTACAGCCCCAAAGCCACAAATAAACTTTCTTGTTCACAAATTTGACCACAAAATCCAGAATCTCATCTTAGAAAACTTCTGAATTGTGATAAAAATGATCAGAATTTAAAGATTACATCGCACGTTAAATTAGGTGGTGATTCGGCCAAGCGCCCCAATTCTGAGGTTGAAGATAACTGCCAAACACATGCTTAGTGTAGACCTAGTACTGTGTATTAAGATTGTTCTTATGGAAAAGTAAACAAGAGGGTGAGTTTGAAGGTATATACTTGTTGTAACTGCAGGTTTTTGTAAAGTTAAAAAATGAAGAATTTGATTTTGAGTTTTCACGCTTAATTAAATGCAGAGTTATTTGAAGAAGCTCAGAAAAGTAAAATATGACTCTAAATAGCCTCAAAGTATGTATGAAAAAGTCAATATTTCAATAAAATAAAAAAATGAATGATTGAAATGAAATGTACAAGATATCAGAACGTAAAATTTCTCTTTTTGACAAAGAGAACTGAGAAAAGAGAGAGAAAGACCTTATCTAATGGCAGTTGAAAAAGCTAGAGGAAGCAGGGATAAGAAAATTGGATGTGAAGAGAAGAAAGTGAAACAACGTTTAAGGGTTTGTGGGAATTTTGAAAATCTAAGCATCCAACAGAGCATATACAGAATGGTATTTGTATGGAAAAGGGATTGACATGATCATCCATGGTTTAAAAATAAAGAATGCATCTGGGTTTGATCGCCATGTTGACAATAACTTTTCTATTAGTCTTTTTAAGGCCTTTCCAGCTACCTTTTAAAATTTTCAAGTCAACATGACACGTAATTATGGGCAATTATTTAGCGCCCGTTTGGCCCCCGGTATTCCAAATTATAATGAGATGAATAGTAAGTTTTTGGAGAATATATGGTTAAAAAAGAAAGAAAATTTTTGGGTTTACGTGTAATATTATTTTATTGGAGAATGTGTGGTTGATAAGAAGAGGAAGAAAAATGAATTATAATTTAATGGAGAATAATGAGAGCCAAACTGGGGCTTAATTTAGTTGCTCAGAGAACAGTTCATTTGGCATGCTCTTGGCAACTTAAGACCCCAAAATAATCTCATATAAGGAAACTCTCTTTTTTCTAGGCAGATTCCATCTTTTCCTTTCTCTACCTTTTCCATACGCTGAAATAATGGTGTTTACTTACCTAGTTCCAGAAGCTTCTTGAAGGTTGACAGAAGAAAGAACAAGGCAAATCGGATAAACATCAAGACCTTTTTTTTTTACCTAGTGTCCCCGATTACTAAGTAAGAAATCTGTATCGACAAGGCAAAATTGTGGGAGACTCGTACAAATTAATCATGCGGCAGGAACTATGCACGCTCGACCTTGCTCAGGGCTATATAGCTTAGTTCATTGGTTCACTTATCTTCAAAATGGTAGAGTGGCAATCATGTTCCAACTAGCACCAAGTCAAATTAAAACATTAATTATGTCTTCCATTTTTATCTTTTCCATCATTACTTCAGCAATGCAGGCCAATCTTGGCAGTTCAAACAGCACTGGAGAGTTGGATGCACTCAATAAGCATAGAATAAAGACATTTTTATCCAATTGATATAACACAGTTCCTCGAAATGGCAATTTAATCAATACAGATATTTCAGTAAGTGTTCGAATAAAATGTTGCAACAACATGCCATTTAAAGAAATATTATTATACCTTTTCTAAAGGATATGCTGTTTTCCCACAAGTAGCACATTTATCTTGTGTCCCAGAAAACATACCAGCGGCTTTGCTTGGTGATCTTGTCTGGATATCAAAAAAAAAAATTAGCAAAACAGACAGAAAAAGAATCAGAGACATCACTATACTGAGAAATTATACGTCTGCATAGGTGGGAAAAAATTACCAGTTCTGGGGTCAACTTCTCAGCTGACTTTGCAGCTGTCGAAACATAATGCATTTTAAATTTAAAAAAAAAAAACTAAAAGAGAATGGCTAATTAGAGATAGAAATGCATCATAATGGAGAAGGTATACGTGACTGAAAGTTCTTGCTGAAATTGCCTGTCTCCTTGAAGAGCTGCTCAAAGTGAGGCTTGCAGTACAATACACCTTCCATGGATGAGTAATTACCAAGCTGAGAGAAAAATTGTAAGAAGAGGAAAAGAACATAAATAGACATTATTGGCACACATAAAAAATATAATTATCTTTTCTATGGAACATTATACTGCCATAGGGAATTTTACTAAATGGCTGCAGTAGTCTATGTCACAAAAAGAGTAATCCAAATTGTTATGGTAAGCAAAGTTGCGAGTCATCAGCAGCTCAATTACACGTCCTTTTCTGCCATATTAAATTTCATACTTGCGAAAAAAAATGATTAAATCTATGAACAATCGTATTAATTAAATTAAAAACCTTAAATCTAAAGAAAATGTGCCGAAAAATAAATCTTTATCTCCTAAACCCACAAAAGAACGAGTTAAAAATTTAACACGTGTGGTTGAAGATGTATTCTACCTTGAGGGTTCCTTTGCAGTGAGAGCATTTAAAGCAAGACTTGTGATAACTAACTCCATCGGCAGACAAAAGCTCAACCGGATAAACTGTCTTCTCACAGGCCTTGCATTTCTGTTGTGTCCCAATAAAAGACATTGCTTTCTGCATTT